ATTAACAATGGCTTTTGCTTTTGGGTATTCCTCGTCAGTTTTTCTAGAAGAAGCCATATTTTAACTTCTTCAGTATGTGGGGAAACAGAGAAAAGCAAAGTAAAAAGAAATAATCCACAACTCAGTTCTATCAATAAAAATGAAAACATTTAATAAAAATTCAAGAAAGCAAAAAAATAAAGAATTTAATTCTTTGGAATGTTCTTTCTACATCCTCAGTGGAAGAAATTGGTAAAATAATGTATGGACACCTTCGGAAAAGCTAAATTATATGTTATTTTTCTATAAAAAAAATTAATTAAAACCTGGCTATACTCCGTTCATCGACCGCCATTTTTTTCATATCCACTATTAATTCACCCAGCAAAATTTTGCTGTTAAAATTCTTATTTAACTTTTTTTTTTTAGTACCTCTGAAATTATACCTGAAACGAATAAAATAGCAGCATTAGATTGGCTAACGTAAAAATAATCGACGCGGAATATATAATCCGTGATCTAGGTTCGAATTCCAGCCTAGCCTGTTTAGTTTCTTTCATACCTATGCTCTTGGGAATGTCATTAATATATCTATTATCTCCCCAGTCTCTTTAACCTTCGCTGGTAGCTAGTCTAGGACAAAGAAAAATTTTAAAACAATATATTTCATATGGCAACGGATATCATTCCAGTATAATTAACAAAAACACCAAGTCTAGTCACAGATAAAACAAGGAAAGAAACCCGTGGAAAGAATTAATGGATGAAAGAATGGTAAAATTATGTAGATGACAGCGATTTCGAAGAGGACAGTACTGTACTCAAAACCGAAAAGAGCATAACAATCTACTCCAATATCTTTCCGAAAAAATTATGGCAGTCAGACATTTATTAATTTTAATTGCCGAATTATTCTTATCTCTGTAAATAGTAATTATTAGCTGGTGAAATGATACTTGATGGGAAGTGGGTAAAAACAGAAAACATAATTACCTTCTAAGTATCCGATGAAGGGGTGTCCATTCAAAAAAAATGAAAAAAAGAAAAAAATTACCCGTAAACAGTTTAAATAAAGTTCGCACCGCTGTGATTGGATGTTGGTCAATCTCCAATCAAATGTGTGATAACGGGGTATATTTATAGAAGTCAGTGTCTACAAGCATTTTTAGAGGGTGTTTCAGAGTCTGATCAGGTCTGAGGGGGTCGATTTGGTGAGGTCAGTATGATGTTTGAAAGACCCGAAACTGCCCAATGATCCATCTCCAGAACATCACTGACGACTCCCTTTAGCGCTAAAAGAGCGTATATTCAAAGCATTCATTATTAAAATTATTTATTATTAACATTAATTATTATTAAATATCATTATTAAATATTATATGATTATACATTACACATTTTTCTTCATGTATTAAATTATATATTTATTATATTTATATTATATTAAATTATATATGTATGTATTTATTATATATTAAATTATTATATATTAAATATTATCATATATTAGATATTATATTATTATTAAATAATATTATTTATTATTAAATTTATTTAGTTATTATTAAAATTATGGCAGTCAGACTTTATGAAAAATTATGGTAATCAGACATTGGAAAATTACTCCAGTATCATTCCTAAAAAGTCATGGCAGTTCTTAGATACGAACTTAATACACAATTTATTTTGTGTATAGACCAGAGTCCTTGTAAATTAAATCAGCATATAAGTCTACAGTTCAAAAGATAAGTTCACATGTCAGGTGAAGGTGCTGAAAAGTTGCTGTTTAATTTTAACGACGAATATTCCGCATTATTTTAAGCGAAGTGGAGGTGGAGGTTATTTGAAGACTTGACGATATAGCCAAAGAGAAGAAAGTTCCATTTTAATGTCTGGTGCTGGCGTTGCGCAGTTGCTGGTTAAGTCCAATTGTGAATCTTCCGTAGTATTTTAAATGAAGTGTAAGGAGTAGGTTATTTGCAGAGTAGCAAAGGCCTACGATAATAGCTACCCAACTCCGTTTATACGGGCTCTACGGTCAATTTTTTAAAGAGCCATAAGGCTCGGAACGCTTCACGTAAAAAACCGGCCTTGTGCCACAACTTGCCTTGTGCTACAACTGGCCTTGTGTCACAACTGGCCTTGTGGGGATGTTTCGGGTAAATACCGAGAAGGAAATATTGGCATAGAACTTACACCACACCAATTTCACCAGTAAAACGATGACACCTTGCTGGCAGTAATGTACTGCACTTAAATTTGCTGTTTTCTTGAAACCCACAAAATCCCATTACGCGAGACAAAAAGAACAAAAATAATTTAACTTGCATTAAAATAAATAAAAAAATATTGAAAAAAAGAAAAAATATAAAGTTTCAATCTGTCGACGTGTCTGAGAAATGTCAACGGTGACTTAAATACATTTTTTTTACAAACAGTGTATTCCGTAAACCATGACGTTGAACAGACAGCTAAATAAAATCCCGAATGTTAGATTGATAGCGTATCGCAAATAACAGTGAAAATAATATATGAAAGCACATAACGGAAGATATTCAATAAACTTTAGCAAATATTCCAACAGGTGGTCTGAAGTAGAGGAAATTACAATCAATTATTTCATATGTTCAAGTGTAAAGTGATTTTCTGTAATAATTCCATTATCATTAAAATCTACAATTGAAATATTTTGTTGTATTTCTTTTAATTGTTTTCTTTTCTTTTCATTATTTCTTCTTTGATTTATTTTTTGGTCTATAATTTATCGATTTTTTAAAAAAAATTAAATATCTAGGAATTTTTTTTAACAGACGACGAAAGATGCGACACCGAAGACGTATAGGGATAGCGAAAAATGCCTTCCAAAATCTAAGCAGAGTATTATGAAACATGAAAATCGTGTTAGAAACGAAGAAAATGTATTTACCTTTTATCTATTATCAATTCTCCGATATGGCAGTAAATGCTTGATAATTTCCTCTCATATGGAGAAGAGAGTTGAAGCAAGAAAAATGTCCTTTTACAGAAAGATACTTTCAGTACCATGGACAGAACACGTGAACAATTACAAAGTTTTCGACAAGATGGTAACGAAAAGAGAACTTCAGTACTTTTCGATTTCTTAGATGGGGTATTATCTACATAATTTACATTATTGGGACTATTGTCCTAATATCTGCCGCCATATTTATTACAACGTTTCGGCCTTTTAGTATCTGTCTATATTTCTGAGATGAGGTAATATGTACACTATTTACATTATTCGGACTATTGACCTCATCTTTGTTGCAATATTTATTACAACGTTTCGGCCTTTCAGTATCTGTCTATATTTCTGAGATGAGGTATTATGTACACTATTTACATTATTCGGACTATTGTCCTCATCTTTGTTGCCATATCTATTACAACGTTTCGGCCCTTCAGTATCTGTCTATATTTCTGAGATGAGGTATTATGTACACTATTTACATTATTCGGACTATTGTCCTCATCTTTTTTGCAATATTTATCACAACGTTTCGAACTTTCAGCATCTGTCTATATTTCTGAGATGAGGTAATATGTACACTATTAACATTATTCAGACTATTGTCCTCATCATTTTGCCATATTTATTACAACGTTTCGGCCCTTTAGTATCTGTCTATATTTCTGAGATGAGGTATTATGTACACTATTTACATTATTCGGACTATTGTCATCATCTTTGTTGAAATATTTATCACAACGTTTCGACCTTTCAGTATCTGTCTATATTTCTGAGATGAGGTAATATGTACACTATTTACATTGTTCGGATTATTGTCCTCATCTTTGTCGCCATATTTATTACAACGTTTCAATATCTGTCTATATTTCTGAGATGAGGTATTATGTACATTATTTATATTATTCGGACTACTGTCCTCATGTTTGTCGCCATATTTATTACAACGTTTCGGCCGCTGTACGCTCCGGCCTCCGTCAGGTGGTTGGAATGTCTCTTTATTTCGCTCACTGGGGTAGACTGTTCTAGTTCCACGTGCCATGTTTGATGGATGTCAGTTATCAGTTGTCTCCTGTTAATTTCCCTCTGAAAGTTCTCCATTGTCTTTACCTGGTATTGAACTTACACTCTTTGGTTCACTGGATCTAACTAACGCCTTTATCCACTGTGCCGTGTGTCCTTGTGAACTCATACTTAACATCACAGAAAGAAAGTTGAAATCTCTAGGGGACATAATGAGGAAGATGGGCTTGGAAAATTTAACACTCCTAGGACATATTTAAGGCAAAATCCTCATAGGGAAGCAAAGAATAGCCTTTTTAACGAGATTGTGTAAATAATTGACAAAACACGGACTAGGAGAAACAGCAAAAGAGAAAACACTGCTAAGAACAGGAAGTTGTGGAGAGCCATCAACGTCCATTTTTCTGAAGGAACTCGGTCTATAGAAGAAGATTTAACAAATTAGTTTTAAGGAAAATAAAAACAAAAATAACATATGAACAGAGGATAAGAAAGTGATAGTTGCTTTTTTCCCCTGAGACATAATGAGGAAGGCAGCTCGGAGAATTTGACACTCACAAGACATTGATAGCAAGAGTGACAAAAATCTCGTAACCTACCTAACGGGCGTGTGTCAATGTACGGCGCAACTTGAACTGAGATAGTAAATAATATAACATTGCTTAGAGCTACAATGAATAGGAAGTTGTGGAGGTCCATGATCGCCTATATTCTAAAGGAATACAGAAAATAAGAAAGAGGCATAAGTCATCCTTTCAACTAATAAAATTGATGCAGATAAAAGATTATACTTATACAGTAAGCAATCAAAATGGACAAGCTTTGTCGTCTTTATTGTAGAAAGAGACAACAGACAATTTCCTCAATGCCAAGGTCCTCACCCTCCCGCCGAAAAGAAGAAAGGCAGTCGATTATAAAAGACTGAAGATAGTACTATCTGTTGGGATTATCAAAGCGACGCAGGGCAAAAGACCAGACGGGCGGATGAAGATAAGCAGGCGATAATCCGATGGAATCAGCTCAGCTGCAAAACAAACGTGACAGTTTTCTTGACTTCGTCTGTCGTCGACGACGCGAAAGAAAGTCAACACCAAGACGACTTAAGTGTACTTCCTGCACTGTTTTCTTTCGATCATATATGATATCAATAAAACTGTTTGTCTGCCCCGGAGCCGTTTCTCGTTCGCATATTGTTCTTCAGGAACTTATAACGAGAACTTCATGGTTACTGATGCTGACAAAATCAGCCCTTCCAATATTCAATTGTTTAATGAATATAAATTGAAATGGTAATATTTCTTATTTCTTTTTCCTTATAAGGAATCATTTAGAAATCATTTACCGAGCAGCCAGTGCTTTAGTAGGGGCAGGTCGATTTTGGAACCATGATATTGCACTCAAATCGAAAGTTTAGATTTGACATGATTAATAACAACAAAATATGTTTTCCAAATCATTACCAATTTTCCAGGAAACGAGTTTAAAGATTAAGTTTAGGTTCAAAATCGTAGCGTTGGAATTTCATTCCGATGATCAGTGAAAGCCTTTGGCACAACCTTATATAATTTCAGTCAGTCATTTATGTGCCATGCGTGATACACGTTTAGGCGATCATGTATCTTTCGATACATGACTGATGAGGCAGATTTTTTTTTTCCCTCAGATGGTTGCCATTATTTTCTACGATAGACCAGTTGCAATCAAAAGTTATAGAACCCGGTTTGTCCTGCTATTTGCTAATAGCTGGTGGGAGGAGAAGAAGAAGAAGAAGATTCATAACTTTCTTTATGGTATTAGAACGTCGGTCAGCCAGTTATGTTATGTGTCATGCGTGATACACGCTTAGGCGATCATGTATCTTTCGATACGTGACTGACAAGACAGATTTTTTGCCTCAGTAGGTTGCCATTTTTTCTAAGTTAGACCAGTTGCCATCAAAAAGGTTATAGAACCCATAGCTGGGGTGTGTGAATAGAAGCGGATTCATACTTTTCCCTAAGGCATTAGCACGTAAGTTATGAATTCGAGTGGAATTCGAACTCGGCTCTCTGATTCCTCAATCCGAGCTGATATCCATTACGCCACCGTGCCTCCCGTGCCTAGCATAATTTACTGAAGCTTTACAAATAGTATATCAATAAGATGCACGGCACACGCAAATTATTACTAAATCATTGTGCCATCAAAGTGTACCTTCATTTATCTCAAAGGGACATTATAATAAAGACTTTAGAAATATTATAATTTAATATATTATACCGTGCAGTAGTTTTAGTGTTACTCTTAATAAACAATGTCTTAAAACATTTTGTCTTATAGTATTAGGTTGGTGCAAAAATAATGACGTAATGATGTCGTTTTTGACGTTAAAAATACGTCCAAAAACGACATTGTTACGTCATTATTTTTGCACCAACCTAATATATGCCTAGCTGTATTATGATGTGATATACACTTTTATCTATTCTTTTTATTTTTATTAACCATGATCCAATAAAAGATTTAACAAATCTTATTCAGTGAAGAGCTTTTTTTTTGTAATCGTTTACAATTTTTTTACAGTTTTTAATTATCGAATACAGTTAAAAATAACTTACATATTTTAATTGTGGTGATTCATAATGAAAAATTCTGGTTTGAATATATTTTCCATTCAATGTATCTAATACAAATTATATCGATTTTATTTGAATTTATTTTTGAAATAATAAAATTTATAAGTCAGTTTATAAACAAAAACCTGCGGAAATTAAATATTTCTGTACATTTTTAGACGGTGTTTCAAAATAAATGCTTAGAAATTGGTGAAAGGTAAGAATGTATTTTTACCATAATTCCATATCATATTAAAACACAGCTTTCTCAGTAAATGTAACGATGATATTCAAAAGAAACATGAAAAATCAACCTGTCCTTGTCCTACACGGGTTGCGCTGAAACAAAATATGACAACCCCGATCTGCTGTGGTTGTATCATGGCTCGAGTAGCAATTTGTGATGTTGGTTGAAACTACCCATTGCACAGTCCATTGTATGTTCCTTAAGAGCTTAAGTCAAGTTTTTATAACTAGTTTGGTTTGGTTTGGTTTCTTTTTCGGCATATCAACCTCAATGGGTTATTTAATGGGAACAATTTTTATTGCTGGTAATTTTTTTAAAATGTATTGTTGATAATAATTCTTCCAAAAAAGTATTGCTGATATTGAAATCTATTTTGATAATTTCACAGTGTTTTGACTCCAGTTTGGGGGTTAACAATTTGCCCATAGCTGGGACATTGATAGGTGCTACTATTCTGGGTCAGGGTGGACCTGGGAACACAAGAAATTAAGAGGGGGTTCCATTCTCCTCAAAATCTCCTGATCTAAGGCCTTTCAATCGGATGTAGTTTATCGTCTTACCCAGAACCCGGATGTAGTTTATCATCTTACCTGAAATCCATATGACATTCTCGATCTGCTGTGATTATTTCATCATGACACGAGTAGGATTTTGTGATGTTGGTTGAAACAGCATTATCATTGAGAGATATTAATATTCATACATGATTTTAACTTCTATCTAAGCTTTCGGCTTATATAAGATGACAATTACATTCCAACATATTAAACAATACACGGACAAAACAATAATGATAGTCTGTTTTTGTTGCATGAAAGATTTTCAAGCAAAGACAAATCGCACCGCAGCTCGTGACGTCACACATGACCACGCGAGATTGAAAACGAGAAGTATTAAGTATCGGAACCCGTTGGTATAGACCAATGGCTTTTGTTATCAATTACATGCGTTTAAAAATATTTGTGAAGATTTCATAGTTTCATGTGTGACGTCACGAGCTGCGGTGCGATTTTTGCTTCCGCGTCTCGTATACACGACTTTGTCGTTGGTTGGAAATCTTTCATGCAACAAAAACAGACTTATTATTATTATTTTGTCCGAAGTATTATTTCATATATTGGAATGTAATTGTCATCTTTGATAATGGCTTATGTAAGCCAAAAGCTTAGATAGGATTAAAAAACATGTATCAATATGGTGATTTTCTTTCATTTTTCAATGATAATGCTGTTAAGCTTATCAGACAATATGAAAGGAATTTACCTAAAATAAATAGACAAAACTTGTCTATAGTATTTAATGAAACATGCATCAATGAATATATATATATATATATATATATATATATATATATATATATATATATATATAGATAGATAGATAGATAGATAGATAGATAGATAGATATATTAAAAAAAAGAAGAGTAAGCTATATAATCCGGTGTTCTTATTGATATATTTTATTTTACAAAACAGTGCTCAATGTAAATTTACAGAGCATAAATATTATAAATTGACTGATTTAAAATATGTTTTTTTTCGCTACACAGAAATAACCATGTTTCAAAAACCGAAGCTAAAAACTTCAAATTTAATTATATAATTAAATTAAAAACATTATTTCTGTTTCGTCTTCAAGCGAATTTTGGAATAACTTATTTTTAATTTTACAGAGTTTTAAACACACATAAATTAATAATTTTCGTGTTTCCAAGAATCCAGAGAAATCCATTCATTCAGACAGGGACGGTAGCGTGTTCATTTTTATTAACTATTGTTGTATCAATTATTAGTTACGTTCGAAAAAGAGGTTAAGTTTAGGGAGGGTAGGGGTGTATTTTTCAAAGAATTCTGTCATCCGTTAAACGCATATCGTCTGGGTTTTTTATATTTTTAACGACAAAAAGTTTTTCGGCATGTTTTTCGTTAAATTCGTACTTGTATGCTTAAAGATTCTTTCTACAAGGGGTGTTTGGGTTAGAATTCGTTATACTGAACTTCAATTTTAATATATTATTTTTACCCTTAATTACTAATTGACTATATTTCTTCTAAACTCAAGTAAATGTAATAGAATTACTTAAATTATTCAAAAATTATTCTTTCATATCAAATATAAGTATCTATATTACCAGCTCCCATTTTTCTAATTTTATTTGTGAATATTATCTCAGGAAAAATTTTGAAAAATGATGACAAAGAATAGCTATTTCATTTCTTTGATTCAGTAAATTTTTATTTTTTATAAACTTAGTAATATATAGTTTTTCGTGTATGAACAAAGGACATGGGTCATTTAATCACCTAAATATTCTAGCTTTTCTTATTGATTTCCATTATTTTTAATGTGTGTCTTTTATTGGTTTCTTTTAAGTACCAGAAATATATATATATAGGCCTTTTTCAATATTAGATACCGGGATTATTAATGTACCAGCTTATACTTTTATAGGTACTCTTACGCGTAAACATCACAACGGCTTTTTTTATTATTATTTGTTTTGCTTCCGCGTCTTGTATACACGACTTTGTCGTTGGTTGGAAATCTTTCATGCAACAAAAACAGACTTATTATTATTATTTTTATTACAAAAACGCCATAAGAGAAGTAAATAATAAAGAAATTAAAGGCTCATGTTTTCTTGTGGAAACACCAAAAAAAGGAAAAATAATATACTGCAGTCGGAAAAAGGATAACGTTAGGGTGGCTGATAATTACTGCTGAGTCGTGATTTCGATCCGAAATGGTTGCTCTATACACAATTCGGCATTAAGTGACCCGGAAGGTTTCAACATGTAAAATCAGGGGACTAACGCTTGTACACACACACGCATACACACACATACATACACTTACCCCCCCCCAACAAGCACAGTCACATGCTGACAGTTTTATCCAAACATGATTTCGTGTATTTGTCTTGTCTATTTAGGTCAATTTATCTCGATGGACAGCGTGACTGGGCAATGTTATCCTTTTATCTAAAAATATATCATACCTGAATACAAGCTTGTGGTCACACACATTGAGACCATCTGCAGTGAAATATAGAGAAAATATAAAAAAAAGAACCTATTCCTGGATTTCAACTGACTATAAGCATAAAAAACACTTTAATCTGTTTTATTGACTAGAGGGGGAAAAAAACTAGCAGACCACGGTTGGTCGACTGATTTCGTAGAAAATCAATCTTTATTTTCTCTGATGATATCTCTCTGCGACCAGAATCTAATGTTTTTAATGTTTCTTTTTAGTCACAGGCTGAGTGTTTGCCAATGAACATTTCATTTGAGAATGTCCATTTCACACCGCGGAATAATATGAGGAGGCTACAATAAAAAAGAGCGTAG